CTCCCGGCTCACCCGCCCTGTGCCCCCCAGGGGTGGAGCTGCTCCGGAAGAGCCGCGCCCGGCGGCTGGTGAAGACCCATCTCCCGGTGCAGCTGCTGCCGGACTCGTTCTGGGAGCAGGACTGTAAGGTGAGCCGGGGGTGGGGGGCCAGCTGGGCTCTGATTGGCTGCTGGGAGCGGAGCTCAGCTGAGGTGGGGGTGGGGAGAGGAGGGCTGACCCCCGTGTCCCCCCGTGTCCCCCCCAGATGATCTACGTGGCCAGGAACCCCAAGGACGTGGCCGTGTCCTACTATTACTTCTACCAGATGGCGAAGGTGCATCCGGACCCGGGCTCCTGGGACCACTTCCTGGCCGACTTCATGGCTGGCGAAGGTGGGGCGCGAGCTGGGGGGGCGCCGGCTCAGACCTGCCCCAGGGCACAGACTGGCTAGCTCGGGGGGGGGGCACAGAGGGGGCGGGAGTGATTACCTGGCTGGGGAGGGTGCAGGGGGGGCATTGGGGGATTGCCTGGCTGGGGAGGGTGCAGGGGGGGCGTTGGGGGATTGCCTGGCTGGGGGGGCACGGAGGGGAGCAGGGGGCATTGCCTGGCTGGGGGTGGGGGACGGGGGTGTGGGGATTGCCTGGGGGGGCGTGTGAAGGGACTGGGGGGGCTCTGAGCCGTCTGCCCCCCGCAGTGTCGTTCGGGTCATGGTACCAGCACGTCCGGGGCTGGTGGGAGAAGAGACGGGAGCAGCGACTGCTCTACCTGTTCTACGAGGACATGAAGGAGGTGAGCCCCCCCCCGAGTAGTCTCATTGCCCCTCCCCTCTTCCTGTCCCAGTCCCCCCCACTGCCCCTCCCCCATTCCTGTCCCCCGAGTGCCCCCCTTCCTGTCCCCAGCCCACCCCACTGCTCATCTTCCTGTCCCTGTCCCCCCCACTGCCCCTCCCCCTTCCTGTCCCCCCACTGCCCCTCCTCCTTCCTGTCCCTGTCCCCCCAACTGCCCCTCCCCTCTTCCTGTCCCCACCCCCACCCGACTCCCTCTCCCCCTCCCGTCCCCAGCCCCCGGCGTGCCCCGCTGTCTCTAACCCCCGTCCTGCCCAGGACCCCCGGCGGGAGATCCGGAAGGTGCTGGAGTTCCTGGGGTGCCCCCCGGCCGAGGGGCTGGTGGAGGCGATCGCCCGGCACACGGCCTTCGCCCAGATGAAGCAGAACTTCATGGCCAACTACAAAACCCTCCCCACCAGCGTCATGGACCACAGCATCTCGCCCTTCATGCGCAAGGGTAAGTGGGCCGGGGCAGGGGGGCACCGGGGGTGGGGAGTGGGGCTCAGCGGGGTGCCCGGGGGCTCGGCCTGGGAAGGGGGCTCAGTGACCCCACTCTCCTGTCCCCCAGGTGTGACGGGCGACTGGAAGAACCAGTTCACGGTGGCGCAGAACGAGCGATTCGATGCCGACTACGAGAGGCAAATGGAGGGAACCGACCTGAGCTTCCGGATGGAGATCTGAGCCCCCCCGCCCCACATCAGCCCCCCCTGCCCCACTGCAGAGAGATAAAGCTGAGTTACCTGCTCTGCGCTCCGCTTCGTGTGGTTCATTGCAGCAGGGAGCGCCGTGGGGAGGGGGAGGGGCACTGGCTGTGCGTGGGGGGGTGCTGGGGGGGGACTTTTCTCCAGTTCGCAGCCCCCCCCCAGCTCTGACTCCAGTTCCACTTGCCTCCCTGCCAGAGCCTCTTGAATAATCCGCCCCCACAGCCCCCAACCTGCTCCGGGAGGGGAGTGGGACCCAGTGGTTAGAGCGGGCTGGGGGGGAGGGGAGCCCGGACGCCTGGGTTCTCCCCTGGCTCCAGGACGGGGGTGGGGCCCAGTGGTTGGGGGGGGAGCGGAAGGGGATGGGAGCCACACTGGGCCCAGAACAATAAATAACCCTCGAGCCCCCGACGCCAGGAATGGCGCCCAGGCCGGGCGAGGAGCCAGAACCCAGGTGTCCAGGCAGCGGGTCAAAGGGTCTGGTGAAGAGTAGTTAATGAACAAACCCTAGAAGGGGTCAATAAGGCAGCCAGTGGGGGAAACGGTTCGGGGCTGGATCTAAGTGCTGGGGCGGAGGGAGGCAGGGCTCTGGGCACTGCAGGGGGCAGGGTGTAGGGGTAAAGAGGCCGGAGCTGTGGGGCAGGGTTTTGGGGGGGGAACTGGGGCAGGATGCGGGGGGGGAAGAAAAGAGAGGCAGGAGCTGTCTGGGGGAAGTCGGGGGGCAGGGTGTGTGTGGTAGGAGCGTGGGGGGCAGGGTGCAGGTGAGAGGCAGAGAGGCAGGAGCTGTGTGGGCAGGGTGCGGGTGGGGGGAGTTGGGGGGCTGGAGCTGTGTGGGGGAGTTGGGGGTCAGGGTGCGGGTAGGGGCAGTTGGGGGGCTGGAGCTGTGTGGGGGAGTTGGGGGGCAGTGTGTGGGTGGGGGGAGTTGGGGCGCTGGAACTGTGGGGGTGTTGGGGGGCAGGGTGCGGGTGGGGGAGCTGTGGGGAGGGGAGAGTCACACAGCCGGGGTGTTTGGTGCAAT